TCAAGCCTTAATATTTTACCACAGGTAATTCATAATAATCTTCAAAAACTTAAATATAAGATAAACATTTCTTATAAAGTTTTTCTTCTTTTTGATGCAGCCATGAAATGTTGACTTACCTAAGCACAAGAATACAAAAATAAAATTATTAAATAGAATGATTTTTTCTGATTAAACTATCTTTCAAACATTTTTAAATATAATGTAGGTTTGTTATAATACTGGAGAGCCATTGTAATTTCAAGAGATTATAAAAAACCTATTTAAAGTTTACATACAGGTTTCATTTGCAACAAGGAAAATATTGACTTCTATACTTTCATAAACTATGAATAGCAAATTCTATTATGAGATACCTATAAAAACGTATTTTAGCAAGCTAATATGGTTCTAGGTTATAGATAGGATTTCAGTAGGACAATGATTTTAAGCATTCTACAAAGCTCATGATTGATTTGCTGTGGAAATGATGTCCGTATGTACTTGATTGACTGTCTTCATTTCCAGATCTCAATCCAATCAAGAATCTGTGGGCTCCACGAAAAAAAAAAGTTTAAAAAGAGGGTTAACTTGGAGATTTATAAAAAAAAATATTTCATAAAGTTATTTTACAAATGTAATAAAGAAATAATGGAAGAAAATCGAGAGTTATATCACAAATGCCTAAGAGAATAAAATTCGTAATAGAAAATAAGGGAAGTGAAACAAAATCTCAAAAAAAAAAAACAAATGATAGGTTTTAAGTGATATATAGCTAAAATTTTATGTTCTAAAAATAAAAATCGATTAAAGTTTATTATATCAGTTTGATTGTCATTATTTAGTGCCACTAAAGTGTGTGATATAATCTCATAAATAAAAAATATTATCAGAAAAAAGTAGGAGCGAAAGTGAGAATTGTCAAATTGTTTTATGCTTTATACATTGCATGATATCTTTATACGATTATATTCACAGGTCTAAGAATATACATGTTAGTTGCAATAATAAAAATATTTACTTTAAATTTAATCAAATGCAAGGAATGAATATGTCAATGGTCGATCACCATTTATTACACGAACTATAAACTAAAATAGTTACAGAAAATTTAATAAATAATTGATACTTATTTGGTTCCCCATTTGCCTGTAATACGGCCTAGACTCTTCTCGGCATGGAGTCCCCCTCGCATTAAGTTATGACCACTCTTCCTTTAGAGGTCTTAAGTTCACTGGAGGTTCTTGAAAATTCTCCTTATTTTTGGATATTTCTTTAACAATCCAAAAATTTTCGATTGGGATTAAATTGGGAGAATTCACTGGCCAATCTAGGATTGAGATTATTTTTTTTTTTTTAAAAAAAAAATAATCTTTGGCGATCTTCGAGTGCGGATCAGTGTGTTATCATGTTGGGATAATATTTCCCTAATAAATAGGCGTACTGAATAATCAAAATTGTCATAAAGAATCTTCAAATAATTTTGAGGGAATTTTTTTTCTCTATATTCGTCAAAAATACCATTGAATCTTTAATTTTGTCTGTAAATCATCCCCAGACAATAAATGAGTACCGACCACTTTTAAAACTAGAAGCTAAACACTCAGTGTCATATCTTTTACCTTCATGACACCACACTCTAATTTTTCGGGACTTTTTTTCGATTCTCCCCTCATCTTATCAGATAAATAATCCTCTACAAATCATATACAGTATACATATTGATTTTCTTGGCACCACTTAACACGAGATTTACATTATTTTTGTTACAAATAATTTTGCTATAGCTACATGAGATCCAATTCCCAAATAATGCAGAACTTTCGTAACAGTTGTTCGATTTCATTTAAGTTCTAATTCAGCAATAATAGTATGGAGTGACTTACGACGTTCTCGGATAACCTTTTGCAGAAGAATGTTTTTTTCTTGCTCATTAAAACTTCTGGTCTTCCTTATTGTGGCAAATTTTCAATTTTCTTTGTCCTCCGATACTTTAAAGAAACCATCTTAATGATGTATAATAACTCCCAATTTGTTTAATTTTCTTAAAAGGATCAAGAATTTTAACATTATCGACATCAGTTAATTGAGTACGGGGACTGGACATACTTGAACACGCTTTTTTTGTCAGAACGAACATTAGAAAAAAGCCAAAAAAAAAAAAAAAAAAATTGGGGTGACAAATATATAAAAAAGGGAAAGATTCTTGTAAATATTTGCACATTTTGTTACACGTGCAAATCGGGCGTCATACTGCACGTAAAAAAGTCGTTTTTTATATTGATAACAAAGGTACACGAAATGCTATCGTAACTTTAATAAACAAAATAATAAGGCAATTTGTAAAACAGAATATTCTATATCTTTCATTTTATCATCATATCAATATTGTTATTAAAAGATTCGAAATTCAAAAAATTCTTTTTACGAAATAATTTTTAAGGTATTATAGCATAAATACGTACATCGCATTTTTTTAATGTTTCGTATTATAATTGGAATTTTTTATTTATGTATGTTTCATAGACAACATTAATGAGCGAAAGCGAAGAAATTTTAGAAAAGCGTCAAAGCTCTCAAAATGTTTGTAAGCTAGTGCTGACAGGTTCTGAACCTGCAGGAAAATTATTATGCTGCGAGAATAATAGCCCTTGTTATGCTAGCCCTTCGTCTTGTTCTAGTAGTGATAGGCTATGGCAGTGTTGGGATATTAGAGATTTTGATCCCTGCAACCGGAATGATACCGTCGCCAGTATAGCTTGCCAGTTACGGAATGGCGTATATTGTCTGAAGGGTTTAAGTGATTATACATATAATCAAAACTCTCAAAATTTAGCCGCTATAAATTGGATATTAAGTCGTGACACCGTAGTGTACTCAGTAAATGGTGCGAGTACTTGCTGTTTTAACAGCTGTTGTGACGATTACTGTTCCTACGACGGTTGTGGTGGTATTCATTATCCTGTACAATGCACTGATTCTCTCGATTCGGGGTCCTGTCTAATTACTAATGATGCTGGAGCGCAAAATCCTTTCAACTATCAAGTACAAGTATGTGATAATAACTCTTATTATATTATACCAGAGCCATCTGCAATTCAAACAACCGTCGTCACTCTTACCGCCGAGACCCAAACTGTAACTTTTACGCCAGAAATAACAGTCACAGCACCAACACAAACAACGACATTGACATCTAGTGGTAGTTCAAATGATGTTTTAATGGGATTAATTGTGACAAATTTATTTTTAAGTATAATTTTTTACTTATTAATGAGAAAAAAATGCTGATTTTTAGAATATTTCTTTCACGTTAACATCTCAAGTTTCTTGATAGTGTGATTCAATAATTTATGCAGTATATTGGAGTCTATATTATGTGAAAAGATAGTCACAAGTTCTTTGACTCTTAAAATTTTATTAGATAGTAATTACGTAAAAAGGAAATGAAAATATACATGCAATTCAAATGAAGTACGAACAAAGAAATAAAAATTTAACTTAGAAGTTAGTGTGATATACAGTATAATATTATCAAATGCATTGGTTAATTCGATATAGACCCATGTCGTGAATTTAACTAATTATAAATTGTCTCGACTGAAATTTACATTTGATTATAGGATGATTCTAACGGTAAAATTTTTAATCAATTCTGTATACATGCAGATATGTTTGAGTTTATTGGTTTCGTTAATAACATAATTAATTGAAATTCTTCATATATATAATTTGCTTAGGGATAAATATATAAAAATTAATGTTATTAATAATATAAATTCTTATATTTAATAATATTTAGTAATTAATAATATGTGGTACAGAATACAAGAAATCATATTAAACGAAAAAAAAATAAATTTAAAATATTCATTTTTGTACATTTTTAGTTTAAATATTTTTATATAAAGTTAATAAATTTAAAAACAAATAAAAATAATTTTTTTTCTGTAAAGGTTTAAAATCAATAAAAGTTATTAAATATGTATATTATATTTTTCTATTTCAACTATTTACTTAAAAAACTATAATTTAGATGTATATAATATAAGTTAAAATTAACTTTAATATAAAATATAATATATTAAAATTTTAAATAATATTATTAATGTAAGTATTTTTAAATTTTTTATTTATACATATTTTTTTATATTTATTTATTAATATAATAGAAAAATTATTTTTTAGTTACTATTAATTTTTTGAACCAAAATGTTATAGTTTTAATAAATAGTTTTAATTGTATTAAATTATAATAAAATTAAAACAATTATTTTGTTTTTGTTTTTTCTAAATTAAATAAGTATTTAAACTTATAAAATAGTTGAATTATAAGAATAATAATAATATTTTTAGTATTAAATAATTAATTTTGTTTTTTTTTACTATAACCCGCAATCAGGTCAGCAAGGTGTGTTTATTAATCTTTAAGAAAACCGATGTCGATACATTGGGCAATTATATCATGGCTAAACTAAATTTTATACTGACTTACTCGTCAACAGCTTTCAGTTCTCAAAAGAGCTTAAACCTTCAAGTGCGACCTTGGGAACAATATTTTGCTCCGGAGAAGTTTTGGGTAAAGACCCTCCTAACCTATCCATCATTGCTAGCAGGTTGCCACTACCAATTATCCTCCA